ACAAAGACACCGACACACACACACACAGACAAAGACACCGACACACACACACACACACACACGCACGCTCACGCACACACTTATACGGCAAACAACGAGTAAAGACATTGACAGCATCTCAAATGAAGTAATAAACAGTCTAAAATTAGACGTTTTTTCCAAACTCGAAGAATAATAAACAGAAAATAAAAACATATTTATTTAATGTTATTACAACATAATTTTACCATCAGCTTTTGTCGAATTCTAATTTGAAGTGACTAGCCTCGCTCTTCGATTAAATTGATGAGAAACACCTTTCCAGACAAAACATCAACTAACACGATGTAACCAATAAGCTATTTCGGGAGCGACTGTTTACACACAAGTAGAGACAAATAAACACTTTGTAACTGAACAATAGAAACCTACCTGAGTAGCATCGACACTCGCCACGGTTAGAGTTCGATTGGTCGGCACAGTACACTTGAAGACTTTGCTGGTTATTGACAGGTTCGTACTTTTCCATGCATGTTGGGTCTGCGGATACACCGTTTTAATGGGAATGATTGTGGGCGTGCCTGAGAAAAAGGTTCAAATGTGAACATTTTCTCCTTTTGTAGTTTATCCCATTTCTGCATAAGTGACCTGTCCTGGTGACTCTTCGTTTGTTTGTTTTTTAATTCAGAAATATTAAATAATTTTTAAAGATAATAAAAATGGTATTTTTTATCGGTGAAGTGTGCTTCTACTCTATTTGAGGGAAAAAAAAACCCGTTTAAGTTTCGTGTACATCTGCTGACCTCAAGAAGAATTATGCTTGTATTTCTTGAAGATGAGAGAAGCTTAACTTGTTTCTTTTCTCCATCTAATACAGCCACAGTGGTACCCAAGACGAACAATTGCTCCTTAAAAAGATGAACCAAAGATGAAATAACGACACCGGTCACTTGTGATGCATGAATATGAGTCGAACGTCATTTCCAATGTCAAGATGGAATGTCAACAATGAACTCAACCAGTTGGTGAGGGATGCACACTACTTCCATGTAATTTTTATTCTCCCTGACTGGAATTCTTGCTCATTAATTATAGCCAGTGGCGTGGGTGGTGAAGGGCTTACGGGCCTCCTTTCCCCATCCCAACTCTATCCCTTAGTAAATGAAAGTTAATCAAATAACGAAAAAAGCAGTTGAAACCGTTATGATCACATGCAATGAACACACAGCAAGGGTCGTTCCCACGGCCCGTCCTAAATGAACTCTTCTTGTAAAAAGGTAGAAGATTTGAAAAAAAAGAACACTGTACTAAGGGCTCACGCTCTCTCTGCCATGATAATAGGGTGAAAGTTTACTAGACACTGCCAATGCGCTCAGCAGACCTTTGTAAGGTGTGTTCTACTTTTCGTGACTACACGGCCTAATCCAATTCATAGACGGAATAGGAATGAAGTGCTGTTTGTGCATGTCTGTGTTTGTGCCGCTGAGATTTAACAGAAATCACGTCGAGCCAAATGAAATTAGAGGAAATTTGGATGGGAAACAGCTTCGTCCCCATCATCCAGAAAATTTTTACTTAGAACAAAGAAATGGAAGACACATGTGACTCTTCTCGTCTGAATGGTTCTCAAAGTTCTGTGGCTCGCCGTGAGTATATAAAAACCACTACTGTTTACGCGTTATTGCTTGCAATTTTGTGGTAAATATTTGGAAGCAACTTAAGCCCCACCCAAATTTTGTTCCACTCACCGCCACTGATTTTAACCGTCAGTAGACAGGTGCGTTATAAACACACAAAAATAACAGTATATTGATAACATGCTGGGGTTAGTAAGGATCGTATGTGAGGAATGATTCCGTTAAATAAGGCACATCTTGAAGAGATACAATCATTTCTCTTGAGGTTGGATATACATGAAACTATAATGCTGTTTTCCTTAAAAGTAGTTAGTGTGCTCCACAATCACAAAAGTAATCATATTATCTAAAAAAATATATTTGAGATATATGAAAACATGTCAAAAATCAAAATGGTACATTAAGTTCAACAATAACAACACGGTGCACTCACATGGTGTTCCCACCTCCCTCACTGTGACTGTGGCAGGCATGGGTCTGTTCACTTCCATCTCATCCACCGCTCGGAATCCCAGACACGTGGACTCATTGGAGGACACCTGTCAGGAGAAGTTGTCACAAAGATTTTGAAGTTATTCTTAATATGTGTCACGACACTGTGGAATCGGGCGCTCGTCCATTTTTGGGCTTATGGGTTTATTGGTACCATCTTCAAGCAGGTTCATTTGTCTTGCTCTTGATGAAGAAATTACCCATCTGTCTTGAGTAGAAGTCGGTATATAATTTGTAATTGATGAAGGTTGGGGTCACCTCGTTCCAGGGCTAAAATTACGGGGAAAATGGCCCCCCAAAGCTTGGTGACTTCCATAGCTTGAGAGTTCTTCGAAATTGCAAGTTTACATTTTTGTTCCTTTTATCTTCATTTTGCAATAAAAATCCACTCATATGTTTTCAAATGGACATAAAAGGTGTTGCGCAATAAAGAAAAGAAAGAACAAATCGCAATAAAATTGCCGAATGACCATAAAAATGCTGATTTCTTTGATTTCATAATTTGGAAGAGCGCCTGATTTCACCGTGATGCCTCACATATTGTTAGATGTTTGTACGCCCCCTTCGATCTAATTTAGGTCATTCAGGGCTTCAGACCCTGTGTGTCAGGGCCTACCCAGGGTGAGAGGGATACAGCCTCCCAGCAGAGAAAGACCGAGGTATTCGATTTTCTCACCACTCGGAAATCAAACCCGGGTCACCTGCGTGGGAGGGCGAAGCGCCTAACCGCTACATCACAGACACCAGTTCGAATTTGTCGCCGAAGAGCCATTTTTAAAGTCTATAAATATTTGTTATTGATGGTTTGAATTAAAAAAAAAAAATCTTTGTTTTTTCAATCGGTGTAGACTTGTGTACTCGCTAGTGATCTCCCAAACTGGTTCTCTGCCGTTTTTCTACTGATTTATAGGCGAAGTTTTCGAAGGTGTAATACAAACATATTGATATGCTGCTGTTTATTTTGAAATAAGGGAAGACACATTATGGTTGCAATGAAAATCTCTCTTTCATCAACATGTTGTCATGTCTGCACAAACCTAGATGATACGTCTCAGCAATGAAGGCGTCAATGAACTCCTATTTTTAAAAAAATCATTTGCTATTGAAAGCCTGTTTCACAATAATTAATTTTCATAAAATGTTGTAGACATAGCTTAAAACAGTGCTTGCCATCCGACATAATTCAGTCTACTTTGATCTGTGTTGGGTCTAAATACACCTTTACCCCTTCCACCATTAACTAGGTCATGCAAGAGGTGAGTCAATTCAGATGTTCAAGGCCAAAAAGGCTTTGTTAGATACCTCTGGTAGAAAGACGGAGTTATCTAATAACACATATTATGTTCATGGAAATCACGTAATAATTATATCGTCGCCATCGTAATAAGATCGGACAGCTACAAAATGTTCGATTTTGCTTTTCTTTGCGAAAGGTGTTCTACAACGCATGTTTCATTAGGCTGGTTAAATTCTATTTTCAAATAAACAACCAAAACTGGGCTTTCTAAATAGAAATAGTAAGATAATCGGATAACTCCTAGCCGTCATTTTAATAAAACAGTTTTTTCTTTCTCCTGAAAAATGTACAGGATGTCACTTATCCGATCTTGTCACGACGGGGACAAGATGCAAATAAAAAATCCAAACTTATACTCAACAGGGGGGCTCTCGTGGCCTAGAGGTTAAGGTGTTGGCCTCTCACTCAAAAGGTCCCGGGTTCGAATCCGGGTAGCGATCGAAAAATTTTCT